TTTACACCAGTGGTTCTCACCCAGGGATAGTTCATCTTCCCTCCCTCCCTGCCTTCCTCCCTTCCCTCCTCTCACCCCCTGGGGAACATCTGGCAATGTCTGGAGCCATTTTTGGTTGTCAGGACAGGGATTTCTTCTGACATCTAATGAATGGAGGCCAAGGACACCAGTAGACAGTCCTCCAGCCCACTCCCCAAACAAAAACTATCTGGTCCAAAATGTCAGTAGTGCCAAGGTTGAGAACACTGGTTTACACTGTGCTACTTCTAAATAATTCTAGACTCATACTTTTTATTAACATATATACTCGCCTCCCAGGACAGGTCTTCGTGGTTTATTTTTGCTTGTTTCATTACCCAACTAGACAGTTGCATAAATTCAACACTTTCTTGTCGAATCCATTCAATCAGTGCAAGTTTAAGATCTTCAATTTTATTTTTAGTCCTCAAAATTTTGATGAGTTCTTGGTCATCACTATATCAATTTTCAACAACTTGCTATTATAAGTCATAAATATTGATGATCGCTGCAAATATTTTTCGGTAAAATGCCTCAGATTTCTGAAGCAATTCTACATTCTATACTGTTGACAATGTTACATGCTTCCATCTATTCCTCTCACTTTTATTAACCACAGCGATTATTCTTTGACTTTTTGACATTTGCACAGTTCAAGTAAACATAAAGACAAAAACATCAAAAATATATATATAGTATATATGTGCATATTTACACATGTATGTTTATATATATTGAAACTACAGAAGCACATGTCACCAATGAGAGTCTGAAATACCTTTGACCCCTTAACTGTTCAGATCAGATTTGCCAAATCAGTTTTGGTGCCAAATTAAAAAAACAACTGGATTTCTGGCTTTCTGGATTTAACAAGGCAAAAAAGGATTTGTGGACCTTTATTGGGGTCATGGTTATAATCTCCTTAAACGTCTTTGGTAGTTTCCCATTGCATTTAGTATAATCCAAAATCCCAACACCACACACAAGGCTTTTAAGTGCCTGACTTTTTGTGGTTTCTCCAGCCTGATCTTACACCCTCCCTCCCCTCTGTGCTTCAGTGAACTTCCTTCTGGTTTCTTGCAGAAGTTTATGGGTTCTTTCAAGCTTTTGCGCATGGTTTTACCTTTACCTGAATGTGCCTCCCTTCTTGTCCAGACATAGACACACATGCTCCACTCTGCCCCCTGCCCACACCAACTTAACCTTTCACGTCACACCTTAGCTGCACTCTTCAGAGAGCCCTTCCCTGGCTCCCTAATGGAACTCAGAGAAAGGGCGAATGACCAAAGGACGGATTTCGCACACAAGCTACGTGGGAGCAACAGGCTGCTTTATTCATCCAGGTGCAGTGGGCTGAGTCCGCAAAGAGAGTCGGCACAGAAGGGGGTTTGGTGAGGGTTTTTATAAACGGGGATAGCCGACCCCCTCCCACCTGCCCTGTTCAGTTCTTTGTTTCTGGGCCAAACCGGCAAGTGAAGAACTGCTTCCTGCTACGTGCAGTTCGCGTACGACAAGGTGGGCAGAACAGCTGCTTGTAGTAAATTCTTCTTCACACAACCAACTCCTACGACTCCTTTGCCCCACTCACATCCATCCTGCTCTGGCGTGGTCCTTATCAGCACAGCTAGGGAGGGACAGCCTTGGTCTCCATCAGCGAGGGACGGGGAAGGGATGCTGGCCGCAGCTGTCTGCCAGATCTACAAAGTCCTCGGACTCCCCAGACTCCTGCGGCTGTTGTTCCACAAGCCTGAGTTTTGCATTAACCACATTCTGTCCTATACATACTTTTGGGTTCCCACCTGGAACAAACCTAACCCTCAGATCGTCCTGTTGTTCCGTTACAGAAGGCCGCACTTCTCTTTCGGCATTTCTCAGCCCTCAGAGAGTTCTGAGTGCGTCGCTTTCGCTACACTTTAAGCTCCTCGAGCGGAGGGGGGTCGGTTCCCCTGCTTGGATCCCGGCGGCGCAGGCGGAATTTGCGGAACGACGGCGGTATTTAGGCAGGAGCGGGTGGGTGGAGGCCGCGCGAGGCGGCGGTTTGCGGCAGAGGCTCGCGGGTCCTCAACGGCTCGGCTCGGAGGGTTTCCCGCCCCTCGGTCCCGGCGGCGGGGAGAGGAGCCCGCGGGCGCTGCGGTGGGGGTGGGGCCGCCACGCCCGTCCCCGCGCCCCGCCCAGGGCGCCCGGACCGTGGGCGTCGCCGTCAGTGTCTGCGCAGGAGGCCGCGCGTGGTGACCGGATACTTCGTGTCCCCGCAGCACGTTTCCTGGAGCAGGTTAAGTCTGAGTGTCATTTCCACAACGGGACGGAGCGGGTGCGGTTCCTGGAGAGATACATCTACAACCGGGAGGAGTACGTGCGCTTCGACAGCGACGTGGGGGAGTACCGGCCGGTGACGGAGCTGGGCCGGCCGAGCGCCAAGTACTGGAACAGCCAGAAGGACCTGCTGGAGCAAAAGCGGGCCAAGGTGGACACGTACTGCAGACACAACTACGGGGTCGGCGAGAGCTTCACCGTGCGGCGGCGAGGTGAGCGCGGGGGGAGAGCGATGGGGCCTGTGAGCGAGTGGAAGTTACGAGGCGCGGGCGAGAGCGCTGCCGGGACGGTGCGTGGCTGTCGTGGGAGGGCTGCGGGGGGCGTCGGCTGTCCGCGGTGGCCGCCGTGGGAGAGGCGATGGCAGGGAGGCGGCGGCACCGTGACTGCCGGGGCCCTCGGAGATGCGGGGAGCGGG